CTAGTTGAAGAGTCTCTCCTCAGCCAGCCTTCCTGTGGTTCTGGGTGATGTCCGTTCCGTCTTTTAGTTGTATTTTTGAAGTGGTTGTTTGCGGCAGCAGTCTGCGGTGTTTACCTATGCCGCCATCTTGGTCTCTCCGCCATTTGTTATCGCAAAACAAAGTCTTGATGGTTGGGTATGTTATTACCAAATATCTGAATATTTTCCTCTTACTCCTCTCCTAGGTCCTGAGTCAGACTGAAAACACTGGATCCAAACTTTCATTTGATGATATTCACTTGACAAATTTTTATTGAGTGGCTACTCTGTGCTAGTCACTGTGTTAGGTACAGGGGTCACAATGGGGATTTTCATAAGATAGACATTTCCCTTTTCTAACATGATTTGTACTCTATTGAACAGAATTAAATGAGTATGTTAGCTCTGGTCCTCTGAGAAATAGGCATCAAGAGACTTATTGGAGAACATGTCTGTAAAGGAAAATGGAGAGGGAACTGGGAGAGTTGGGGCAGCATGGTTGAGATATCAGACCATCATGCCTGTCTGACCCCTGTGGGGGAGAGAAGGAAGGAAGGAATGGGTATAGGAAGAATCCATTGCTCTATTCTCATGAAGTTTTGGCAAAGCTACTGAGAGTCTTCCAGCCAAGTTAGCAATCAGCAGTCACATCTTCTAAAAATGAACCTGTTGTAGTATTCCTCTCAGCTCGGTCTTGGGTAGAGCAGCTGGTGAGAAGTATGGCTTCAGTGCTGGGCCATCACATTATATACCCTCAGTCAGAGATCTGAGAGAATTTTCATGGCCACCACAGCATGTGTTGAGTATCATGATAGGGAAAGTACAGGGTGCTGTGGGAACATAAAGCCTGAGAGACCACAGGCTATCCTGAGGAAGCGATATCTTGGGGCAATAATTCAAACTTATCCAAGAGAGAGGAGGGGACAAAAAGGGGAAAGCATGTCAGGCAAGAGAGAATGGAGAGCAAGAACGAGAGTGAGAGCAAGGAAGTTGCTGAAAGAAACACAAGGAATTCATTCTGACTTAAACACAGGTGCCAGGACAATGAAGGTGAGAAAGGAGGGAGGAGTTGGGAGAAATGAAGTTGAAAGGCAGTCAGGGTCAACTCTTAGCGATAGAAGCAGTTTAAGTTTTATATCAATGGCAAAAATTATTGAACTATTGTTGTTTATTTTAATCGATTTTAGAGGGAGAGGAGAGCAGAGGGAAAGAAAAAGAGAAAGAGATTTGTTGTTCCACTTATTTATGCATTCATTGGTTGATTCTTGTATGTGCCCTGACCCGGGATCAAACCCACTACCTTCGAGTATGGGAATGAACCTTTTACTAACTGAGCTACCTTGCCAGGGCAGTTGAGGTGTATTAAGCAGGGAGTAGGTTAGTGGAGGGAGAGTGGGAGTTGAGTAATGTGATCATTTTTGCACTTTAAAAATATACTTCAGTGGCTATGTGAAGAGTGGTTTGGTTGAATACAAAACTGGAAGCCATAAGACAAGTTAGGAGGTTCTTAGTGTCATCCGAGTGAAACATGAACCAGACAGCAACTTGGACTATGGCACCATTTATGGTCATTTGAGCCATAGTCAGGGATAAAATGGAAGACTGCGAATTTAATGAATGTAGTAGATGAAGTAGAGAGGGGGGGAAAGGACACTCAGATTTCAGACTTATTGACCTTGTGACATTGAAGGATTACTTAAATTCGTTGGACTTTGGTTTCCCAGTCTGAAAAACGAAGGCAATAACACCTACTTATAAGGTTGTTTTGAGGTTAAATTAGATAATGTAAATTAAGTATCTTACACAGGGCTTAGCTTATAAATGGTACTGCCCTCCTGACTGCCTCTGTATGCAGCAAGGATGTAAGGTGCATTCCTATTGGAGAATCAAGTTAACTGTAAAGAAAATTAGGTTTTCTCTGTCTCTATGATTTGTCTTTTCTGTTTGTCCTCATCGCTTACATTATTACATTGCATGTAAGTAAACACCACTTTAACTCAAAGATCTGAGTAAAACCTTTTGTTAAGCCTTCTGATAGGAAATCTCCACACCTATAAAATGAAAGGCTCCAAATAAGTTGTGAACAATCTATAAACAACACCTAACCAGGCAAATCATGTCCTCTGGGGAGTGTGTGTGTGTGTGTGTGTGTCTGTGTGTCTGTCCATCCCTCTTTCTCTTTGCTTCTTTCTCTTTTTGAATCTTAAGCCAAGTGACCTAAGAAGAGAATAAGTACTGGGTGTTTATTCATTCTGGAAGATTCTTCCAATACTGGCCTTTGTTTGCTGACTGGACCCCCTGGAGCTGCCTTTCCATCTTTTTCTTGAACCTGTTTTGGCAGCCTCCATGAGGACTCCCTTTCCCCTGAGCACAGTCCACATCTGCTTCAAGTGACCAGAATCATCTTCTCTTGTCTGCACTCATAGAACCCTGAGGTGTCCAGTCCCTTGGACTTTCTCTCCAGTCATCTCAAGATAAGGAGCCGTCCCTTGGGGCAGAGAGCCAAACATGTATCACTGCTGGTGCAGTGTCGTTGATCACAGCTGTGGACCCAGTTTAGGATGGTATTCCCAGGGAATTCCAAGCTGATCTCAGAATATCTGAAACCCTGAGTCCTGGACCTGAGGTTACTAAAACATGCCCAAGGTTATTTCCCATTTTATTGTGCATAAGAAATACCCCAGAAGCTTGTTAAAACACAGGTGTCTGAGCCCAGCCCAGGTATTCTGAAGCAGCATCTCCTGGGTTGGATCTAAGGAGTCTATATTTAAAGGAAGTACTCCAATTTAGATTTTTACTTCTAAAGTGTAGTTCTTAGACCAGCGACATGAATATCACCTGGAAGCCGTTAAAAATGAGGAATCTCGGGCCCCTCACCAGACCGCTAGAATCCATCTGAGTTTTTAACAAGATTCCCAGGGGATTTGTTACACATTAAAAGTTTTAGAATCACTGATCTAAAACAATGAAAGCCATATCTTCCAACCAGGGGAGATTTTTGCCCCCCCCCCCCCCCCCCCCCCCCCCCCCCCC